GAGCAGCAAGCACCCTTAACTACTGAACCATCTCTATAACACTTGTCCAGTTTTTAAATCTATTCCAGGAATTTCTGCGCCTCAAATCATTCCCTAATAAATAATTCTAGAAAATGAGCAGACCGTGCTGATCTTAGTGACCTTTGACATGAAGAAACTTTGATGCTCATAGATATCATTCTCATATTCATGTCTCCAGCTTCAAAGAGCTTCATTAAACTCTATCAGGCAGAAACTGAGGTCTTCCTATCATCCTTTTGCTTCTTACCTTACCAATTAACCTTGGCAGAATCATAAGACATAGCTTTAAAAATGCAGATGAGATCAAATGGACGCTCCATATAAAAACAGAATCCCAATTAACCTGTGACTCCAACTCTCAGCCTTTCACACACCTGCTACTTGCCTGGAAGACATCATTTTATCACTTACATTTTCAAATTCTTTACACAGAAAATGGAGATGAACATGTCTATTCATGTGATAAATGGCAGTGATGATTAAGTTGGAAGGCTGAGGAGACAGCTCAGTGGGAGAAAGCAATTGCTCCTCAAGTGCCAAGACTGGAGTTCAGAGCCCTAGAGCTCACATCCATTCCTATAGGGAGAGGGGAGACAGAGATAGGGTAATTCCCACAAGCTAGCTGGCCAAGTAGCCTGCTGCAGAGAAGTAGGAAAATAACAGAAATCCTGTCTCAAACTAGGCGGACGGCAAGGACCAACACCAGAAGTTGTCCTTTGACTTCTACAAACATGCCTAGGCATCCATGTGCCTTCACTAGCTCATGCACACGCAGGATATTTATTTTTTCCACTGCCTGAGGCAATGTGTGACCCAATGCGGAAGCATCTTTCTCATTGACAACAACACCTAAGTTTCTGCCACAGACCCCTGTGCTAGATTTCACTGACTGACCCTTGTTACAAAGGTTTTGACACTTGGTACAGCGGCTGTAAAGACATCTCAGTCACAGAGGTGCCTCAGAAAAGATTCCTTTCGAAGCAAACTTATCTTTGGCTGAAAATACAAAATTTCCAGATGTTACTTTTAAGAGATCATATGGAGACTTTGCATTTTAGAGCATCCTTGGAAGAAAACCATATCCAAGAAACATGAAACCTTTTAAAATAACAACAGAACTGCAAAATGCCCTGAAAACTCTGTGTCTCCTCCCTTCTTCCCTTCCCCTGAAAAGAAAAATCATTAACTACTCTTATTTCCATGAGGTAAGAGACTTCCAAAAGGGAAAATAGGAATGGAAAAGGTATATCATAATCTGGAAATGAACTAAGGAAGCACTTAGTTTAACCCTCTGTTAAATAGAATAAAAAGCTGAGACCTATGGAAGATTTGCTGAAGGCCGACCACACACACGTTAATGTTGGTCAAATCTCCCTGCATAACCTCTTCTTTCCCATTTCTCTCCCTTCCTCTCCATTTAGCCTCTTCACCCTCAGTATTTCTGATTCTGGCTTCATATGGGGTACGGTCTGCTAGCCCCACAGCCTGCTCTATTGTGCTTTAGACACACTTTCCTCCACATGGAAATGCAAAGGGAAGTGTTAGAAACTAGAACTCACACAGGAGACAAAACCTACAATATTGGTCTCTCTGAACCTGAGTTACCCCACCTAACATAACATTTTCAAATTCTCTCCCATCTGCCTTCACGTTTCATATTTTCATTTTTCTTTATGCCAAATTCATGCCACATTTTCAAAGTGCATTCAGCAGCTGTTGGGCATCTAGGATGCTCCCGTTTTCTTTCCTCTGTGAATGGAGCGGCAGTGACCATCAGTGTGCAAGTACTTACACGGCTGGACACAGAATGAGGTGTACATAACAGCGTGGTGGAGCTGGCTCCTATGGTGATTCAGGTTTTCTCTGTTTTGTTTTGTATTTTTTGAGAGATGTTCAAATTGGTTACCATAGTGACTGTTCCAACTTGTCGCCAATTATGGATGAAGATTCTTCTTTTCCAACTATTTGGCAGCATTAACTATCTTTTGTTTTTGTTTTTTGTTCATTTGTTTTTGATGATAGTCACTCTAAGTTGAATGAGAAGAAATTTTGACTTAGTTTGGTGAATTTAAATTATTAAGGATGTTGAACACTTTCTAAAAATCTTTAATCAGTTATCTGGGTTTCTTCTGAGACCACTGTCTCAGTTTCTGGGTTTTGTGTTCTAGGTACTAACCTTCTGTTAGATGTTTAGCCAATGAAGATTCTATTATATTCTATAAGTATCTCTTTGTTGTACAGAAGACTTTAATTTCATAAGGTCCTATTTGTTTGGATCTTTTTTTTTGCTTTGTTTATTTTATTTTGGGGTTATGTGATTTTTTTATTAACTAAAATTTTTCATATATGTTACATACCAATCGCAGATTTTCCTCTCTCCTCTCCTCCTGTTGTCCCTCCATCCCTGACTCCCCTTTACCTGCCCCCCATCCACTCCTCTTCAGTCTTCATTCAGAAAGGGGCAGGCATCCATGGGCTTAAACATAGCATGTGCAACAAGATGAAGCAAGAACAAGCTCTTCCCTTGGAACAAGATTGAACTAGGCAACCCAGAATGGGGAATAGGGTCCTGAAAGATAGCACAAGAGCCAGAGATATTACTGCTAGGAGCCCCAGAAATAGACTGTCATACACATGCATGCAGAGGACCTAGCTTGGTGCCATGCAGGCTCCCTAGCTGTCAGTTCAAAGTCCATGAACTACCCAGAGCCCAGGTCAGTTGTCTCCGTGTGTTCCACCATCACGACCTTGACACCCACCCTGACTCATATAATCCCCCCTTTCTTCAGCAGAACTCCTGGAGTTTGGGCCAGTAAGTGGCTGTGGGTCTCTGCACCTGCTTCCATCAGTTACTGGATAATGACAATTAGGGTAGTTGATGACAATTAGGGTGTTTATCACCACGAGGTCATGGCCTACCAGCAAAGTTTCATCACATCTATCTCCAGCAGTGGATCATGGCATATATCTCCCCACCTTCCTTCTCCCAGCATTCAGTTCTGTTTTCCCTGCTTACCTAAGCTCTGCCCTATCAACAGGCCAAGGCAGTTTCTTTATTCATTAACCAATAAAAGCAACACATAGACAGAAGGACCTCCCACACCATTTCCCTTTTTCTGTTTAAACAAAAAGAAAGGCTGGATACTATGGGCCTATAGGCTGAAGATGGATGCTCCAATGGTAAAGAAAAACTTTGAGTGACTGTCTAGGCAGCCAGATGTCTCTGTCAATTTTAGAGTTTTGGAAGTTGCTTATGATATAATTTCTGTTTACTTAGGTAATATCATATCATTCTGGAGTCTTTGATGGAGTTGAAGAATTTATAGTTTTTGTTACAGTTTTCCTTAGTTATGATAAAAGATAAAGTAGATATACTGTTTAGTTTTATGTAATTTTACTATGTTAAAGCCTTCCTAATCTAGTAGTATTTGTGTTATAAACTTGGGTATGCTAATGTTTGGTGAAATATATTTATAATTATAATGATCTGTTGATGGATTGTTTCCTTAATCAGAATGAAGTCACCTTATTTATCTTTCCTGATTAATTTTGGTTTGAAGTGTATTTTGTCAGATATAAGAACAGCAATACCCAATTCATAGATCTAATTTCATGGAATGCTGTCTTCAAAGCTTTTACTCTCAGGGAGTCTTTATCTTTGATGAAGAGTTGTGTTTCTTGGAGGCAACATATAGGTGACGATGTTTTCTAAATCAATTTACCAGTCTATATCTTTTGACTAGGGAATTGAGGTCATTAATATTTAAAGATCTTGTTGAAAGATGTGTATTAATTCCTGCCATTTTGCACATTATATAGTATTAGATGTTTTTCTAATCTTCTTTGTTTAACTACAGTTGTAACAGATTTTTGTTGTTGTTTTTGTTTTTCCTTGTTCTGTCCTACATGTGTTAATCTTTCTTTGTCTTATTACCCCCAGTATCCTCTGAAGAGCTGGCTTATGGGTTACAAGTTCCCTTATCTTACTCTTCTAACGGAATATTTTCTTCCTCCACCAGCAATGGCACACAGTTTTCCTGGGTGTAGTATTTTTAGTTAGCAGCTGCAGTCTTTCAGTAGTTTAAATACATCATTAAAGTTTTTCAACTTTCAGTTGAGAAAACAGCTGTTATTCTATTCTGGTAGACCTGACTATACCTGTTACCTGGCATTCCTTTCAGTTTCTAAAACATTTTCTTTGTTTTGTTTATTTAGTGTGTTTAACTATATTATGATGTGGGGAAGCTTCTATTCTGTTTTTTTTTTTTCTATTTGGTGTTCTAGATGCTTCCTGGGCTTGGGAATCTCCATATATTTGTGAAATTTTCTATCACAACTATAGTGAAAGTATTTTCTATACTGTGTGAATGGTGTTCTTCTCCTCCTTTTATGCTAACAAAGAACGTATCTGTTCTTCTCGTGATGTGCCAGTGACCTTGAGTTCCATTCATACTTTAAAAATATATGTAAATGTGTTTTGAGTGAATGTACCTGTGTCAATTCCTTTACCTTGTCTTCCAGCCCTGAAATCTGTACCTATGATCCACTTTATTGCTTAGACTTTCCACCATGCTTCTTATTTGACTGAAATTTTCATTTCTAACCACATTACTTTTGTCTTCAGGATTCCAATCTCTATCAAATTCCATATTCATATCCTTCATTGACTTCCTTATTTCATTTAGATGTTTGACTGCAATTTTTGGAATTCATTTAGGAGTTAATTCATTTTCTCTTTCATTTCTTTTAATATCATTCTTATGAAATTTTTTTTGTCTAGAATTGGGAGCATGGATCTGGTATTGGCAAAGTTTAAAACAGATGGATTGTCTCAGTTTTCCATGGTACTTTGCTTTTGCACTGGACTTGTGCATCAGTTGTAACATCATTGGTTGAATCCTTTTTAACTTGTTTAGGCCATTTTCTTCTTTAAGTTAGAAGGGCTTTCCATGATCATGAGCAACCCATCTCCTGAAAAAGTCAAAATCATTTTTCTCCATATTTCCTCTAGTATTCCAAACATCAAGCTCTATAGCCAGTTTTCCCCTGAGAGTAGAGTACTGTCTGTTCCACCAGTCATTGCTAAAGGATAGAGTAAGGGAATTCACAAAACTGTCATCCGTTAAGTACTAATCATCTGGGGGTAGTAAAGGGACACTGATGAGACTGTGTGTACGAATCTATTAGTTGTAGGTATGAATGAAAAGAGAAGAAACACAGCCTGGCTGGTGATGAGAACGGGAATAATGGGAAAAGAGAGGAGGGGATGCAGTAGAAAAGGGAGCAGTAGGGATAAAACAAAGTTGAACGAAGGACAGAATTTTGTGGAATGGTAGACAGAAAAGAGAAATGAGGGTGTGTTTTCATGCAACAGAACTCCCGACTTTCAGGAAGGAGGCTGGGGTGAGCCTGGCCAGCGGCCATTGTTTGCAAGACAAAAAGGCAAAAGGAAAGAATAAGTAGCGGCAAGAACATAGTAAGGCTGGGATGGATGCTGAAGTGATACTGGGCATTAAACAAAGATAGGGCAGTTGTAGAGCAAAGGGAGCTGGATGGAGACACAGGGTGTGAAACTGATTAGTCTCATTCTGTCTCTATGGTGCTGTCAGGTTACTTCCCTGCCACTAGGAAGCCCTCTGTGCTGGGCAGTACAACCCACCCCTCCAGGCCTTCATTTGAATGATCAGATAACCTGGGCAGTACTTCTGAGGCATCACCCCAAATCTGGCACACCTTTTAAATTCCTTCAGGGATCAAGTTGTGAATATGGGCTCCACCTCTGTGCCTCAAGTGGTTCCTACTAACATGTTAAGTGCGTTCCTTCTGCGACACAAAGATTCTTTAGACTGTATTGGATAAATATCATTCTTGTTTTACCAAATATAATTTTATCACCTTCTTTCCTTCCTTCCTTTTTTTTTGTTTCTTTCTCTGTCCGTACTTACGTTTATTTAATATTTATTAAACTGTATTAAAATTGTGGAGCTGTTCGTGTTAAAACAAGGCTCCCATCAGAAAGATCTGTTCCCTTTAGCTATTTCCTCTGTCCTTATAGAAAGTATAACTCTCCGATTAGATTTTGTTGTTTTGGCTCATCTTACTTTTGTCTATTTGACATGAACATGACTGTATTAATATTATCTGATATTTTCTTATGGGTGTAGTAATCTTGTGCCCATTTCTCCATTAATTTATTCTTCCAGCTATGCATTTACCCATCATTCATCTGTCCATCTTTTCATCCCAACTTGCCCAATTTATTTGAGATGAGCACACATGTTTAATTTTATCACTACTTCTTATAATTAGTTGTCTTTCTAGCCACAGGGTAAATAATACTTTTGAGTTATATATGATGAATAGCTGCCAAATACTCGTCATCAGCCTTGTCCCTCCGGGATGATCATTTTGTTAAGCTACTTCCTCTGTCATTTCATAAAACTATAAAATGATATTTTAAAATAGTACCATATAATCAAATCATCACAAAACACTGGAAAAGAATCAGTAAACCTCTTGAAACTTGAGTCTTCATGTTCTTCATGGGTGCCCTCTTAATTAACAGCTTTGCGTTCCCACCTGCTGTCAAAATCATTGTTCCATTTTCTCTCTTAATTTTTATACAACCTCAAACCCTCCCCGCTTTTTCCTCCCCAGAGCTCTGCGTTGCTTTCCACCTCCCTTTTCTCAGAATGTATTTCAGTGCACAATTTAACTGAAGGAGGACGGAGAAGAAAGGCTGTGCTCTTTGTGAAAAGCACAAGAGTCTTCTTGACAGGGAAGGGCTGGAAAATAAAAGGAGCAGGCTGTTAAAATGTGAGCTGTGCTTGAACACATCCTAAAACGATTCAATTGTCTGTTCCGGATATAAATTATAAGCTGAGTGATTTAAAGCCAACTCCCACTGACTATTAAAAGTGGGGACTGTTGAGTTAGCCAGATCCGAGTCTGCTGTGAACTGCTTCTTTATGAATCGCAGTGCTAACTGTTCAACCTGAGTGACAGTAAACAAAAGTCAGATTTAAAAAGCGCCTGGAGGATGCATGAGTCACAATAATTCCGTACTCTAGTTCTGCCTCCAGATGAAGTTTACTAGTAAATGATGAGCACATTAAAGGTAGCTGCTTATGCATGAATAAATACTGAAACAAAACAAAATGAAATATCTCCCCTTCAGCCTGACTATTGCAGCCAAGCTGGCTAACACATATCACTCTGCTTCATCAAGAGGATATGTCTATTTTTAGATGAAACAGCAACTACAAACTCTGCATTTATTTAGTAATAACTCATTAGAGTTTCAATATTTGTAGAAAGACCAGGTCTTATATAAAATGCTGAATTCTCCAAAATTCTCAAATATTCTATACCTCTAAAAGAAACTATTATAACAATAACAGAAAAGGGGGAGGAGACTCCTGATGTTTCACATAAATAAAAAAAAATTAAGAATCCCGAAACCTCTGATTCTGCCTGGCCCCTCTCAGCTGATTCAATGCATTGTCACAGCTCGGTTTCCAGCTCTCAGTTCTTTGATTTTGAAATCTGTGCTGAAGAAACTCTTTGTGTTCCGCTTCTCTCCTTGCCGCATCTGTAAACCTACAAAGCAGTATGCAGCAATGGAGTCTCTGGTAGAGACGGGACGACCTATATACTTCAGCTCCTCATCAAATTCTAACTGTGAGGCCTTGAGAAAGTCCTTTAGCAGGGTTCTACTTCCTCATCTACACATTTGAAGGGAGAATTCTGAGCCAAGTAGCACGTGCAATGCATCAACTAACTTTTAAAAGGACAACCTCAGAGAAACCGAAACGCCAGTGTCGCCTTAAGGAAAGAAACCTTCAACACTGCTCTGTGAACTACCTTGAACGAGAGTGAACCCACAATTGAATCCTCCACTTCTCTCCCTGTATTTTCCATCTGCCCTTAGTTTGTGTTGCCGGCTCGTCTGTAGTCTGTCTGCTGTGTGTATCTAATTGTTCTATTGCCTGTGTGTTCCAAACAACAGATATTGCTCTGTATTTACTGAACAACCCAGAAAACATTGCATGTGGGGTGGAGGAAGGGGTACACTCATCCATTGCTGGTGGGAATGCAATCTTGTGCAACCACTTTGGAAATCAGTGTTTCGGTTTCTCAGCAAATTCGGGATCAACCTACCCCTGGACCCAGCAATACCACTCTTGGGAATATACCCAAGAGATGCCCTATCATATGACAAAAGCATTTGTTCAACTATGTTCATAGCAGTATTATTTGTAATAGCCAGAATGTGGAAACAAC